TGAAGGAATTTTTCTTTTACTTTTCAAAGAGAAGAGTGAACTGCATGGGGAGGAGGAGGGACAAGGAGAAACATGCAACAATAAATGAATGGAAATCCAATACCTCTGTAAACGTTCATTAAAATTAATAATTTTTTTTAAAAACCTAGAAAATTTTTTTAAAAAGACACATAGCCTTTATATTTAACCTAAAGTAACTTTTTCCCCCTCAAAATTACAAAAAAACAATACATGCTTTAGGGTCTATTTCAAGCTTCTTGAACTAAGAAAACACAAACTAAAGAAAGAATGCAAAAGAAAAAAATTCATAATTTACCTTGTATTCAGTATGTTGTTGTTGTTGTGTGCTGTGGAGTCAGAACCGATCCACAGCTGCCCCTCCCGGAGTTTTAGAGACAGTAAATCGCACAGGAGGAAACTGCTCATCCTTCTCCCATGGAGCAGCTGGTGGCTTTGAACTGTGTGTCTACTGGGATTACAATGCAGCTTCTTACCACTAGGCCACCAGAGCTGCTCTATTTCTTGTTCTTGGTCTTTTTTAAAAAATAAAATTTTTATTTTATACTGGTTTACTTACAAAGGAAATGTGTGCATATGGAGAAATTTATCAAAGTATACATGGAGGATTCATAGACCTTATGCATGTTATTCTTGAAGAAATAGTTTTTAAATTATATTTCCCTGGTCTACAGTAACAGCTTGCTAGAAATTTTAACAAACTGTTACTTAACCTTCCAGAATTTTCCAATTACATTTATTACAATTTCTTTTTCAATTTACATATGAATGTGTATGGGAGCGTGCCCTACAGGCCCTGGGCAGCGGGCTCTATCTCTCTAACCAGGTGACAGCCCATGGTACAGTACGCGAGAGAGAACAATGTGATGTGAAAAAAAAGAAACCCTTGCTTCAATGTGCAGATAGACACACTATCTATTCACTGACTAGGAAGCTTGCCACTTATTAACAATTATTCCACTGCTTAACATTGCAGATATTCTGTTTTGAATAAAACAGAAAACAAACAAACAAAAAAAACCAAACCCAAACCTATTGCCTTCTACTCATTCTAACTCCAAATGTGTCAGAGTAGAACTGCTCTACTGCAATCACAGAAGCCGACTACCAGGCATCCTCCTCCATGGTGCTGCTGGTTAAATCCCAGGTGCCAAAGGTGTTTACTTGTGGACTAAGCTTTCTATGAAAATCTGAAAACAAAATAATTTTACTTTTTCTTTGACTTAAAAATGATAGCAATAATTACTATTAAAAAAGTTTGTTTCTTTCACCA